TCGGGCAGGGGACTCCCCCGGCTGCATGCCCCCCTCTGTTCCTGTCTCCCCAGCCCGGGGAGGGGGGGGGGAGGGACCTCGCCAAAATACCCAACTATGCATTGGTGCGCGTTGTGCGCCGGGAGCCGCGCGCCGCGCGTCCCCCCCCCCCCCCCGAAACACCGGCAGCAGAGTACCCCTGGCAAAGGGGGGGCGAGGGGGTGTGAGTGTGACTCACGCTCGGCAAGGGCGCCTCCGGCCCGAAGGCACAAGGGAGTTCAGAGGCCCAGGCGGGGCGCAGATCGGACGGACGAGGCCCCACCGTACGGCCGGCCGGAGGTCGGGCTCCCCTGGCGCCGGCCGGCCGGCCGGCCGCCGTGCCTTGGCAGTTGGCCCATCGGATGGGCTTCCGGATGCCTCCCACACCCAAAGGCCCCCCCCTCCCCCTCCGGGCACCACTCACCCGGCGCCTGCCGGGCGGGCGCGCAGAGCCAAGCAGCGTACATGGTGTGTGTTTGCCGGCGCGGGTGAGAATTGCACCCGCAGGAGAGGGTGCGTGCTCGGGGTGTCGCCCTCCCCCCTCCCCCCTGGCACGGGCGCCAATAAATGAGGGTGGGACCGCCCTGCCAGCAGGGGCGCCCACTCCGCTCGGCCTAGTGTCCGCCCGCATGCTCGCGGGGGACCTTCGTCGGCCCCGCCCCCCCCCCCCCTGGACGGCGCCCCGCGAGACGCTTTGGAATTCCCGGCCCAGGGGGTATATGTCCCGCGGCCTTTCCCCCCCGCCCCCCGGTAGGGCATGCGCCCTCGCCCGGCGGCCGAAACGCCCCCCGCTCCCGCCCCCCGCCCCCCCCCCCCCGGAAGTGATGTGGTCATCAATTACCCATGCCCCCGCCAAAGGGGTCCTGATCGCCGGCTCGTACGCGCGTCCGCCGCCCGGAGGGTGGGCAGGCGCCCGGCGCTCGAGCCGCGGCCACGTGCGTGTGCGACGAAAGCCACGGCCCGCGAGAGAAGCGGTCATCCGATCTCCCTGGCGCCTCCCACACAGAGGCGTGCGTCTGCGCGCGCGCGCGCGCGCGCGTGTATCCTCGCACACCTGGATGCCGGATGCGTCCCGGGCGCGCATGTACACACGCGCGGTCGCCGGCGAGCGCCCGCCCCTCCCCCGCGTCGGGTCGCGGCAGGGTCATGCTGGGCTCAGAGGACGACCTGTGCCGCGCCCCCCGCCCCCCGCCCCCCCCCCGGCTACACCCCCCTGGCACCCCCTGCCCGCTCGCAATATAAATGCTGGGCCCCTGTGCGTGGGGGCCGGCGTCATCCGGCGGCCGCGTCAACAATATGTACGGCGCGGAGCAGCCTCGCGGGCTTCGCACGCAGGCTCCCTCCGCGCCCGAGCACCCCGCCGCCAGGGTGCTTCGGAGGTTGCTCGTTTGTGCGGCCCCCCCCCCCCCCCAGATTGCCGCCTCGGCCCCCCCCCACGACCCCACACCCCACCACCGGCCCGCCGCCCACCCACCCCCCCCCCCCCCCCCCCCCCCCCCCCCCCCCCCCCCCCCGCCCCCCCCCCCCCGCCCCCCCCCCCCCCCCCCCTGCGCACGGGCCA